CCCCCGCCCATAAACACGTACTCCCTTTAAAATATTTTTGAAAAAATAATTAACCTCTTCACTGCTACACAGAAGAATAGATCTCGATCTACATACTATTGTGTAAGGCAGCGTGGTGGAATCAGGCTCTCGTCAAAATAATGAAATCGAAGAAAACAGCATTTTTCTCCCTGCTTAGCAATTTTTATCCAATTTTTTTCTTTGGCTCAACACCTTTTATGTCCATTTACAAACACATTCCTTTGAGGATTTCACCGAAAACGCTGATTAAAAGCAACAAAAATATAAATTTACTGTCTCCGTGGACTCTCGAGCTTTGGAATTTACCAAGCTTTGGTGGCCATTTTCTCACTAATTTTACCTCTTAAACCAGGTGACCCCCACCTCCTTCAATCCAAAAAAATCTCCACTTCTATTGAAGATGGATGGGTAATTTTTTCATTGAAAGCAAGACAAATGAACAAGCTGTAAGATGATACCAATAAATCAATATGCCTAAAAATTGACGAGAGCCTGATTCCACCACGCTGTCTCACTTCTGTTCTCGCTTCTCTTCTCCCAAACTGGTTCACTGCTACTTGGGGCGATTGTGTAGATTTCCGCGTTAAATTCCGATACTACACGGGACATCTGACAAACTCTTTTATTCATATTTACAAGAATATATGTGGAAGCAACAATTTTAGGAAAACATTTTTGGCAATCTGTATTGGATTTCATTTTATTACTCTGTTTAACATTTTTGGCAATATTCTGTATTGGATTTCATTTTTGGATTGGATTACTCTGTTTAATGGTAAGTTCCAGAGCTTATAGGCCAATTAAAACTAGTATCGGAATTTAACACAGAAATCTACACAATCGCCCAAACTGGCTATTCAATTGAGGGTACTTTAATAAGAAGATGCATTTCCAACTTGTGCGGTTAGCTATTCCTTATAATGAGGGGGAAATATTTTGAGTTTGAGTAAAAACACATCGACATAACAATGGTCATTATTTTAAGTGCTGTAAAATGGCAAGACAGACAGACAGAATCAACAGAGAGAAAATAAAAGAAGAGGGCCGTAAAAGTGACGCCTTCTAAGTAAGAGAATCTTTTTAACAATTATTTATGAGGCTTTGTTTAACAATTATTTATGAGGCTTTGTTTAACAATTATTTATGAGGCTTTGTTTAACAATTATTTATGAGGCT